GTAAATAATTAAACCGGGCATTATTATAATATTATTATTGTTTCTTTTAGTTCCTAGAGGAACATAGGGCTTCAGCCACACCTCTCCATTGCGTTCGGTTCTCTGCCAACGTTTTTACTTGACTCCCCATCTGCCTACATGCTTCCATCTTCTCTTCGCATGACCTCCTCCACGTCACCCTCGCACTGACGACCAACTCGTCGCTTCCCACTCGGGTTCCACTCGAAGGCCTGTCTAGTGATGTCACTTGATGGTTTCCACAGAAAATGGCCAATCCACCTCCATTTCTTCCTGCTGACTTGTTGTACAATCGATTTCTGCTGGATTGGTTCGCTTCCAGAGATCCCTGTTGCTAATCTTTTCCGGCCATCTGATCTTGAGTACTGAGCGAAGACAGCTAAACAGGGCATTAACAATGACAATATTTTTCAAAAGAATATGAACATGAAGCTAAAATTTAAGTGGAAATATTAAAAACAATAATATTAATGAAAGAAACAATAGAAAAGTGCTGATCACTTAATATTTTTCAGTAAATTAGTAGTGTCATGCCTTACGCTTTCCTCATAAGGTATTGTAGTTTTTATACTTAGTCTTCTGAGCATATAGCCTTTTATAGTTGCTTCTAGATCGAGATGCAGAGGGAGAGAGAGAGTTGTGTAAAGAAAGGATGCTCAGGTTTCGATAAGATAAAAGTCAATAATTTATTGCTTCAGTCGAGGTAGCTATTTACTACGGCACAGACAAGTTGGTTTAATGACATTCCACTCATCTTTCTGTTGGCTTTCATTGACCTTAGCAGGGTAGCGAATTCTTTCTTTGGCAGTCCAGAAAGGATTGAGAAGGGGTAATGGAGAAGGGTAGGTAGGATACAAGAATTGACAGACTGTAGAAGTAGAGACTGAGTGATACTAGATAGTTTTAACTTCCTTAGGTCAAATGTTAAATGATACACCTTTCCAGAAACTAAAATGATGTGGGAAAACCACGAAAGATTAAAGGGAAGACACAATCCAAGGTACTTAACATTCAGCTTAGTTTCGAATTCCATGACTTCTGTGACACAAGAATCATGGAAACGAACTAGTTTCTGTTAGGCGCACTTCGAGCAACACAATATACCCATAACCATATCGATTCATCCACATGGCTTCAAAATTTCATTTATGTATATTTTTTCTCACTTCCTTTTTGTTTTAATCAATGTATACTATATAAGTCTTGTGTCATTTTGATTGCATTTGTTCAGTACTCATTCGACGGACAAAGATTTGGTGATTAATCGCTCTCTTTCTCTCGAGTTAATTAGAGCAATTTTTAATACTTTCACCCTGTTCCACCCTGCTGTGTGATTTTGTGTAACCGAATGCATTTAAGTGGTCGATCTGTTTTCCGGACGACTAAATTTATCAAGGTTAATCGTTATAGGCCTAGTTAAATTTCTGCTATCCGGCAATGGAACTGACACCGATTTACTAGTTAGACCCATGTGGAATCAAGATGATACAATGCCTCCATCAAATCTATGGAGGATTACGATATACAAGAAAGAGGGGGTGGGAAACTTATATAAAGCAAATTATGAAGCTGTGTGAATAAATTGATATGAATACTAGCAACAAGGTGTGCTAAAAATGTCATCCACATATTGCTACTCTGTCACTGTTTGATTTATTAAATAAATCCATCTATGGAGTAATAATGTACCACAGTACCTAAATTCTACTCATACACTAACAGCTATTTCTGAAATGCTAGAAACCACCTTCCACTCTCGGATGGTTGATTTGTTTGACTTCTAATAGGGAGGTGTTTCTCTTGCTCATCTGATTAAAATTAGAACAGCAATATCTATTGTATTAACGGTGGATTTTAATTTATCTGTCCTTAATAAGCTCCCAAGCAACTTTCAGTAATGTCGCACTTTGGGAAAGTCATAGGCGACAAGGCATTCATCAAACATTCGTTAGTAGGAGCTGATATGTTACTATAGACCTGTTATTTCACTTCAACTAAAATTAACCACTGAGAACTACAAAATAACTTGAAAGAATAACAAATAATACCTTTGGCAGAAAAGGTGGGTGTTGTGACCGCCTCGTTATGCAGAGAATAATTTCACGTTTGAGACGATTTGGGGGTGGTGGCTTAGAATCTTGGTGAGAACAGCATCATTCACTGTTAATGTATGTATACCCACCCGACGAGTCCTGAACAACATGGGACATGAATGTTAAATTCCTCTGAGAGCCAACATCAACTAAATAACATTTCATCATTTATATTTAGACGTCAATAAGAGTATGGCATAGACCATCTCAATGATTGATGTATTTCCTTTACAACCGTGATCTAATTTATATATCCGAAATTCATACAAATTGTCGGTGTTGCAAGAAAATACTGGTACAATACATATAAGGAATCCGACCCTTTTGTTTACAATTAGACTGAATATGTGTATAAAAGAGAATGTTGACCTTAGATTCTGTATCTCTAATACTTTTTGACTGTAATGAGGTTAAGGTAGCAGCCTCTTAATTAATAATTTTATCTTTATCAGTAAGTATTGCGCATTTCTGAAAAGATTTCCTCCCTACTTACAGACTGTACGAACGTACATATGCCTGCTACCTATAGGAAACATTTTAATCGAAATTAATACTAGGCTGTGCTAATTGGGACGTGATAGTTACTGTTGGCAGGTTTTGGCCTGATTTCATATTAGCATTAGGGGTCAGATTGTTAAAGCATCAATCGTTCACAGTTGGTGGCCACCTTAACAGCATTTGCCTACTGTGAATAAATTTCGGAACATCGGAAGAGCAATAAACAGTTTTACAATGATTTTATTCTCTCTTTTTATTATCTTCAAATTAGAAGATTACTTCTTTCATGTAGATTAAAACGGAAAAATGTGCATGAATATACACATGCAGTTTTATTTCTTTGCTATCGTTCAAGAGATTGTACATATTTTCATTATACTCAAAATTAACGTCAGTGGGAAAACATTGGTAGAAAAAGACACAGAAGAAGTTGGCCTGTGCAGTGGAATATCTTAGTTAAGGGTCTCAGTATGTGCTTAAGTACGTTAACCTGAAACAATGAATGAAAGTTAGATGCTGATAATAATTTGAATAAGCGGCAGTGACTTATACAGAAAGAATGCACTAGAAGATTGGAGGCAATTGGCAGAAAGCCCTGGACCTAGGTTAAGTGCTTACTGATACTCTTTAGCGAGGCGTATCTGAATCCTTGCAAGAACTCATGTCCCTTCTGAAATTCGAACTCACATCACCCAGTCCTGAAGTCACATATATTACCAATGAACTATTCGTGCTCGTGATTGACCTCCTGTAGGACTGTATTGGGTAATTTTTATTGGAGATTTGTCGGTTCGAATCTCAGAAGGGACATGAGTTCCTTCAAAGTTGCAGATACGCCTTGTTGAAGAGTGCCAGCTTGCACAAAACCTAGGTCTTAGGCTTCCTGCCGATTGTCTCCAACCATCTAATGCCAACAATTTATAATAAACTGTGAAGGCAAGCTACCTAGCATGGTGGACACATTGCAAACTTCACTGATAGAATAAAGTCTACACCAAAGATATGACTGGACACATTACACCAGTTACTGACTAGTGTCCAATGAGAAAGAATACAACCCAGCAGCTAACTGTTTCAATGACCTTTCAAAACTTATCAGATGTGGCTGTAGCTTACCTTTGCATCACCACAACTTATTTTTATTTTATTTTGATTATAGCTTGATTCCACATCCTATTTTTACTACAGGTATGGAATTTTCAGCATGTGATATCGGTAGACCAAATTTTGCAGGCCGACCATTAATATCAGGTGTACGTCGGCAGGGAATCAAATTCCGGACGAAAGGCATGGCTGGCGAGAGTCCTAACCACTGTGCATTTAGTACTTTAATCCTACATTTTATGCCAACTATTTCTGCGTTAAACCTGACATAACTTTCTTCAAGAGTTTAATTTGTCATGGCACATTTGAGAGAACTGAAAGAGATGTTTGATAAACGTCCATTAACTTACCAATATTGTTACAGCAAGTATCTAACTATAATCTTGCCGTAAACTAACAGCATTACGGTTGATAGTAGTGCCCAGTCTGTTTTCTTCTTTTGAACTGGTACACTATTGACAATAGCAGCTTTAATGCAGGATCTTCAATTATACTTGTTATGAAAACATATTCTGAAGTGTCAGCTGTGTAATTTTATGTTTAGTTGTTGATTCTTCCTGAGAGAAAACTTGAAACAAGATGTGGCAGTGAAATGCTTCGATAATTAATTAGATTTTGCATCCACTTGAGTAACAGTGTTATATCACTGCTTGTCAGTATGTAAATATATCTTCTTTTTGCAAATATCTACATAATAACACGTTAAAGTTGATCATATACATAACACGTTGAAATGTTAAATAATATGCGGCCGTGGCATGACGTTTAAACTTTCAAAGATTTTCTTTGTGTAGTCACTTCTCTTCGTCTCAGCTACTAAATAGATGTTTATTTCATTAACGCAATACGTGGTTAGGATTTATAATAATCCTTCTTATTGAGATAGTATCAAAAGTTTTCTTTCTTCTGTAGCTTGTGACAACTGAACTCTTGTAATTTAGTTTAAATTGAACACTTTTGAGCACTTGCCACAATTCCTGCGGATGGACTGAGTTGCATTCTTATGGACAATAAATCGATCGTTTGTATTTCTTAATAATTTTATATTAGTATTGTTTCGTTCAATAGTTGAGGCTTTGTTATTATTTAGGTGTAATTAAGCTGTGGTATAAAAATTAAGTTCTGCGTCAATGTTCTAGTATATTAAGACACTATCTGTTCTCTTTATGTGAGATATTTTGTGTACATCTACTTTCATTCCTGTGATTAGTAATTTTTACCTAAGATAATTTACCAGAAATATGATAACATCCTCATGTTACTTGAATACGTCAAATAATTTTCAAAATGAGAGCAAAGCTTCGGTAAGCCGAATCTATATTGCTGATTCTCTTAGTGATTGTTGAAACAACTGCGAACGTCAGCCTGTAAAGTGAAAACAATGAGGAAAGGAAATCTTTCCGGATATGTTGTTTGTTCAGTATTAAAATTCTCTGCACTGATGCACGTCTTCCGGACTCGATTCTCGAATAACACACTTCTAAACCTTGCCTAGTTTATTAAGTGGTAGGAAGATCGGTTGAAAGGTAAAATTAAGAGCAAGATTAGCAACAGCAACATCAAAACTACCAAAACTTCCAAGCTAAAGCCTTAAATTCCACGTGGAATGCAGGGAAGGAAGAAAAGACGTCAAGAGCCAACTCATCACTTAACAATTATGGACAGTATTAAGAATAAGAATATTTGTTAAAACAACGCCAAATGAATCAGGTGAAGCCTTTGAAACAAGACTTTAAATTCACAGTTTTCCGGTGAAATTTAGATTAACAATATTTATTTGCCTTATAGATTGTAGCCTATTAACACCTTCCGAAAAATAGTCTCTGAAATGCCCCTGTTTTTTCTTCCTATTTTAGTGATACTGCAGTAGAAAAACTTAAAGTATGGTGCATTGGAAAATTGATGCCGCCAGATGATAAAACGTCTCAAAACTCTTCCATTTGTGATGTTATTCTAATGATGCCTATATTCTCTAGGGATTTGTCTGATCTTATTTCAGATTATCTGAATGAGGTAAGTTGTTATTGGTTATTGTAAAGACAGCTTTTTAAAAAATGCAATCATTGAACCTAAATGAGACGTATTCTCTATAACAGGTTTTAAAATGAAGTACTGTCCTTGTGCTACTTACCTCAAGCCAATCTTCTTCTGACGGAGGTGTACATATGGTCTAAAGTTGTAAAAGAAAAGTGTCATACTTGCATTGATATCAAAAACTGCAGGATATTGAGAAAACCAGACGACTTATTATAGTGCAGTAATCAGTTAAATCTGTCCTCTGCTGCATTTTCCCATCGATAAAAATTAAGATTTTTACTGAGATGAATGGGTAATTTTAATGGAATACCGTGTCTCAAGTTTTGCCACATACTTACTGAAATCCTTCTTGATTCTGATATGTATGGGTAGCAGCATAAGTTAGTGAGGAAAGTCAAACCTAATTTTTGTTTTTAACCTAGCGAAACTTTTATATGAATCAAGTCAGTTTGTTACTAAGTTTCAATGTTGGTATTCTGAAAAATATATCCAGTAATCCCGAATCGGTCGTGAGGACAAAGACTCGCCGACTCACGAACTGGTAGAAGTTCGAATTCATGGGCGATTAGGTAGGGTCCTGGTGGCTGAATGGTCTACCAGATTTCGTTATAACCGGAAGGTCACTAATGAAGAGACCTGAATTAGGACGAAACAGCTGTCCAGTATTCTCTGGTTTTCAGTTGTTCTCTAGCCAATGTCAGCTGGTGGTCAAACTTCAACACAAAAATTCGTCCAGAAAAGCTGTGCTGAGAAAATTCAAATAGAAACTTCATTGGGACCAACAGAAGGTATTGCTGACTTATCAGTAAATCATCCCTGATAGAATATGAAAGCATACAGAACACCAGAAAATTTCCAGCTTTGATGTCATTTGGACGATACGTAGGAATATAATGAAGGAGGTTCAGAGAGAATTAAGATAAACTGTAAAACTTATAACATTTATTATTTTCAGGTCTCAATTGCCCAGATTTGCATGAGAGATGGCGATCAGAACATTTTACATTTTATCTATGGAAATTGTTCGTTTGATTCTGCTTCCGTTAAATTACGTCACCTTTCTACCTAATCAAATGCAGATCTTTTGCTTTTTTTTAAGATTTTTATTCCCGAACTACTCTCAACTCTTTTACTAACATTCTGTCATCCAACTTATTTACATAATCAGCTCTTATTTCTAGTTCACATACTACATTATTTAGTCAGTTTCAGGTGACGAATATTTTATGTCTATTTCTTTCTGTCTCAGTACTATCATTCACATTTTTAATAATGCTGACAATCTAAGTGATTTGCCATCACATTTTACCCTGATGATAATTAGGGGAGAACAATAAGCAAGAATATTTTGACTTCGGCTTCGTGCTTTCTGACACTCGTCAGCAAGGCGAATCTGCAACGTTCAAAGGACTGATTTATCCCTCAGAGGTTCGAACTCATGTATCAAAAAAACAGAAAAAGAATGTTTTAGTTTTTTTCAGGTTAATTACCTTTCAATTAAAATATAAATTACTGAAAGTTTTTGTTAGTCGCAAATGAGACTGGTGTCTCTTTCAACAACATAAAGGTGTTGACTTTTTTGTGGCAGTTATCCTGACTGAAAAACCATTCAGATGTACATCACAACAGCATTTATTCTAATTCTACTTACAGAATACTCATATTCTAAATCAGTGTAGAAACAAACGTGCTTTGACTTATAGCGATACTGTCTTGAAAATTTTGTTTACCTAAATGATTTCCAGTGACATTCTTGCCTTCACATGAGAATAGTATTATCCTTTGGAACCATCTTTTAGATTTTGCGAAAAATTTTGTTATTTAATAAACACTTGTAAACTTGTTGTTTGTAACTGTTTGTAAAGTAATGCTATACAGGATGATAAAGTTCTCCACCAAGGATTTTCTTCAGTTACTAAATAAAGTAAGTTATCTTTGGAGCATTTTAATAAAAAAAACATTAACAGCTGTAAACCATTTTTTGACAATTAGTCCCAATGTAAAAGAAGGATTAATTTGAAGGAGTGAGACATAAATAAAATTTGTTTCTGAATGAGACTGCTAGAAATAATAGATCCACCTGTCTGCAGGAACTCAACGTAAGTTGAAGTGTTACTTAGTTTGGCTGTCTGAAACGAAAGCTGTGTAAATTTCTGTTCCTTCCAAACAAAGGACTGACTGCATTTCTAAAGTAGAATTCTGCTAACTTTAGGAACTGATCTTGGAGTGTGAGCAAAACTTAACATTACTTAATTGGTTCATTCGTTTTTACTAGCCTTTATCGACTACTTCCATCTGAACAGTTGTTTGTTTAATCATGCTGTTTTTCATTATTCGTGTTAGCACAGATTGCCTCACTTTTTCATCCTTATTATTGATAAGACCATTTTTATTATTACTATTATTATTATCATTACTACGATTATGACTAATTGCACAATTTATATTCACCATCGTATTATCCTATAGACAAAACATCATGATTGGTTTATATTTGAATTTTTATTTGTAAACTTACATACATTAGAGTTAAGCCTGATGAGATCTAATTGAAAACAATATTATTCGCCTAAATGTGTTGTTCTAAATTTTACTATGGGAATATTTAATATATTCAAAACTTAACTGATAGAATTTAGTCTGCACCAGACGAAAGACTGGACTCATGGCATTAGTCACTAACTAGTGTCCAGTTAGAGGAGGCTGAATAGCTTAGTGGTAAGGTCTCTGATTGTATAACTGGGTAATAAGAGTTCGAATCTCAGAAAAGACATGAGTCCCTACAAGAGTGAAGAAACGCTTTGCTGACTAGTGGCAACAAGCACGAAACCTGAGTCCAATGCTTCCTTTGGCTTGCCTACAAACATCTAACAAATTTCAACAGTGCGACAAACCAAACCAGATATCCTTAGAAGGCTTTCTTTTCCTTATATTATTTGTTAAACCTGTCTTGCAAGTATTCCAAAATTGCAGCCTGAGAGAACTTATTAAACGTTTAGTGATAAATTATAACTGTAATGATTCAAAACAAGTTCTTTGATCAAAGAAATACAATGGATTGATTTAACTAACTTCGGTGTCACTTTTTAATTGAATTAGGATGAAATGTGAGAGGATATTAGCATCATCAGTTAGATCATCTCAGACTTATCTGTAATAAATATACCTTCATAGATGGATATTAGATATAAACCGGCGATAGTGACTTGTCGTAAGTCTGATAATTTTGTGCATTTATTTATTTTTTACTCCTGTACGTTCCCCCAGTGGAACATAGGGCTTCAACCTGGAGCCCTGAAGTTTCGGTAGTACTGGTATTTATTTTTACGGGATGAGGTTACTAGCCTCATACCCAACCTTCCCTCTTTACCAGTCTTATTACTGTCTTAGTAAGGTAAAGGAGTGCGTCGGACGAAGATTGAACCCCGGACCACCTGCGTGATTGGTGAGCATCCTACCGCTGTGCCACCGACGCACGCATTCAGGTATAATAACTACTAATACTAATTACATGGATAGCTGATGAACAAATGGGAATTATATGAAGATATGGTTAAATACTATAACACTACCCATCTGCTATCAAACTACGCTTTCAGACAAGTCTTTGCCTGTCAACCTTAATTTTACTGAATTAGGAGGCGAATGGCAGGTTGTTAATTAATGGTTGGACTATGTGAGATAGACTTCGGAAGGTAGGCTGTCAATAATGTAAGGGGTGATGATGAAAGATGAAGTGAAAATGTAAGTAGCTGTAAGGTTTATTGAAGCTGTTTCCTAATTAGCAGTCTGGTAACCTGCAAGATGGGTCTCAGAACACAGATTTTATTTGGGTCATCATTTCACTGCAATCAGTCACGAATAATGCCTAGTCTTCATGTAAATAATTGACACACTATTCTCTGCCCGTGGTGATGGCCATGTTGGCTGTCTAAACTCGTTCTTAACTGTTGGAGTTCCAGACTACTTATTCAGTAGATGATGCGTTGGTGGCGCAGTGGTTAAGACTCTCACCAACCATGCACATGGTCCAGGGTTCGTTCCCCTGTCGATGCACATCTGATATCAATGATCGGCCTCCAAAATTTGGGCTACCTATATCACACGCTGAAAATTCCATACTTGTACCAAAAATACAATGTGCTTCTAAGCTTTAATAAAAAAACAGACTTTTATTTTACCTTCAATCTTTACCCCATACATGAGTAACAACTATGCTGAAAACGATATGGTTACTAAGAGGAAATTCCGAAAAGACATTGTAAATTCTTTCTTAGAAAGTAATTGGTAGGATTACATAATAATAAACTGAAATTGAAATACACTGGTCTCATTTAAAGGAATCCTTAGCAAGACTAACTGCTGACTGACAGAAATTTGTTAAGAAGAGAATCAGTTGAGTCTTTCCTAAACGACAGTGAGATAAGTATTTTAGTTTTTCCAAAGAACATAGTTCCGAATTAGTAGTCAGAGTGTCGCCTGAGAGGATTTGTTGCCAACTGATGAATCATTCTGAATAATAAGGAACAGTGTATATCTACAGCTGATTGATTTAGGCATACAACATTCAGTTAGTGAGGCATGGTATTTAAGCCTACTGCCTGTTCTGACATTGAGACGAGAAAGGCGTACATTATCAGACAATTAACTATAGTGTTATAATACCATACAGTATTTTTTGTTTCAATAGAAACTTAAATAAATTACGCTTTTATCTGTAAATAGAGAAGGTTTACGCAATTCTAACTCTGACAGCCTACCGATTGAAATATACGTCTGTATATATGTACATCTACATATATATATATATAAATATATATATAAATCCTTAGTATGTTTTTAATCTAAGTATTGATAAAGGAAAATCGCGGAGAAATTCCTTTACTTTCGTATTCTTTTATCCATTTAGTTTTGATAAGTTATTCTTACAGACTTTAGCAACAATACGTACGATTCTACATACATATATGAACGTA